GAGAAAAGTCTTTTCGGAGGTGAACGGTAAGTCACTCATTTGAGAGAATAGTGAACAACAATTTCGATAACTAACCACGGACATATACTCTTTGATAAGTTCGTCCATGCGTTCATCAGCAGATTCACTGCGCGATGCACTTGTTGAGTCCGGTCGCTGTCTTAGATCCGGGTGTGAATCTGTCATGCTGAAATTGAAAGCAACTATAGGTAAATATAAGTCATGTCCACAAGATCGGATCATGAAATGAGTAGGAATCATCATTCCGCAATCCATTTCACTGAGCGTACTGCTGCTATAAAGCCAAAATCCTGAATCAGTCCAGTACTTTTTGAAACTCTGAAGTCCTGAAGACCTTCAAACTACGACATGAAATCTAGTTGTGATGTTGTATAATACATAGATAATAACTTAATGAACAACATAAGCCATGAAAATTTGAACTCTGATAGAGACTACAAGTTTGCAACCAATCGAACACTGATGTTCGAGCAAGGATTTGCGACATACACAACGAATTTACGTCACAAATAAGCCTCTTAGCTTAGGTTGTTCGTTCAGTTGACTGGCAGAGCGTGTAAAAACGTCATGAATGTAAATGATGTGTTGAACGAACATCAACAATGAACGAGCATATTATATTCAATGGATAACTTTGACTACATCCGTAAGACTAGATTGAATGACGATGTTCTGTTTATTGCATGCACTGCAATCCAAGACAATGGATGCTCTCATTCAATGTGCATTGTTTGAAAATATTCCGAATGAAATATTCCGAATGACGATACTGCGGATACTCTGCGAAGAGCACATTTGTCAACAATTGCGTATTTGTTTTAAAAAATATGCTTGTATATTTCTCGAAAGCAAAGACGTCATTCGAACACGTCAGGGGAATCAGTTTAATCTGGATGATCTATGCATATAAACGTACATATTGCGGACATCACAATCAATAGGGCAACGAGGTTTTTGTGGTTTACTTGNTTTTTTGTATATAATCATAGGAGAACTGAAAGAAATTCAGTCAAATGCAATTGATTACGACGGCAAGTTGTTCACAAATCACGACTAGTAATGGAAAATTGAACATTTCATCAAAACGCATGCATCGTTTTTTGCATATTTCTGGCTCTCTCCTCACGATCAGATGTAATTCACGGAATTGTGAACTCTGAATATGCCAAGTTTGAAAAAAAAACAGCACTTCACACAACGATACTCTCTTCGCAAATGACTAGAAGAACTTACAACAACGGACGACTGTTGGTTATAGGCGAAGCCGATGAACTCGTTAGACATTCTGAAATTAATAAACATTTTTATCGGAAGCAAACATGTGAAACTGGAAAAAAACTATTGCTGCCTTCTCGCTTGCAATATCGCAATTGAACAGTGCTATTTGATGATGCCTCAATGGAAAAAATTTTT